TATGAGTAGGGCCGTGAATTACTTGGGTCAGGTCCATGGCCGTCATGGAAGCCATGAACTCCCGAGCTACCTCAGATGTTTCACTGATGGATGGCAGGTTGAAATCCCCCATGACCACAAGTCTGGGGGTATCAGCCGCCACCTCGGCTATAACATTGAGGAGTTCGGGCAGGGTCGTTGGCTCGTGGCAGGGAGCCAGGTACGTGATCAACAAACCCATCTGCACCCCACGACCCCACTTCACAAAAAGGGACTCACATCCGGCTATCTGAGGTACAGTGGTCTCCCTCGGATCAAGACCTTCTCTTAGAATGACCGCCACCCCCCCGCCCCTGCCCTGAGCTCTCGGCTGATGAAATGCATGGCAGTCTGATGGGCACATCTCCACGAGGGGAACTCCCCCCTCATGGCCCAACCAGGTCTCCGTGATACCTGCCAGGTCCGCTCCCCCCTCCTGAATAAGATCACAAATGAGGGGGGCTTTATTTACTATGGACCTGGCATTACACAACATCAGCCGGAGACTTGGGCCCTGAGACTCTAAGCAGTCTGGGGAACGGGAAGAGCTAAGGGGACCGGGGCACGCAATCGCTCGAAGATAGCAAGCACATGTATATACCTATACTTACTTATAAAACTTTTACTCTTATATATATTGATTATAGTTTTACTTCCTTGCATATTATATATGTTAAATTGGAAGCAACTGTAAATTAATTCAAGATATTTTAATAGGTAAAAATATTGCTGTATATAAAAGTTGATTTGTATATTAATGGTGGATAGAAAATAGATTTTACAGTTGATCAGACTAAATTTGCATTTTACTCAGTATAACTTTTGGAGAGATAAAACCGGGGCAGTGATCTTCATAGACTTTCCTATAACATAGGATTAATTTTTTATGGTTTGGTGGAACAATTTCTTTCAAATACTTAAAATGTCAAACACATCCACAGTTACGAAAACGGTAAAGAAGGCAACCCCAGTGACAGCCTCTCCAGCAGGACAAAAATTAATAACGGACATGCCAAACACTGAGAAACTAGGAGCAGTCCCAACATTACAGAACATACAAACAACATTGAACATGATCCAGGAAGTAATGATGAAAACACAGGAGTCCATGAATAATAATAATAATGAAGAAAAGAAAGAAGAATTGGGTGAAGTAAAGGGAGATATAAAAAAATTAGATGACAGAATGGAAAAGATTCAAGAAACAATAGCAAAAAATGAGCAAAAGATAAAAATAGTAGAAGCAAGAACAGAACGAAACGAAAAGTAGTAGGAAGAAATGGAGGAGAAATTAACAGCAGCAAATAGAGAGCTTGAAGAGACGATAGTCCATTTAGAGTTAGAAAGATCTTCTTTCTACTTAAGATTTCAGAATGTAAAAGAAAATAAAGAAGATGATCTCTGTAAACTCATGACGGAATTACTGGCAGAGTTGCTACAAACATGAAATTCAAAATAACATTGATGAAGCATATAAAATACACATTAACTATGCGCGATGACACAGACTTCCCCGTGAAATTCATGTAAGATTCACGAAAAAATCAACACGAGATGAAATTTACAGAAGAATGAGAGAAGAGCAGGGGTGAAATGCTCCCGGTTCGGACCGGATCGGCTAATCTGGTAGCAATGATGGCCGGTGGTTCGGAGAACTGGTAGCGATGGCAACTCGAGGCTCCACCCACCCTCCCAGTTGTCATTACTTCCTGCTTTTACTTCCAGAGAACCGGTAGTAAAAAAAATGCTTAAAAAGCTGAGCTATGCCCGATCGTCAGAACTTTTTTTTTTTTTTTACTTTTTAAGCATTTTTTCTACCGGTTCCGGAGAAACAAAGCGCTCGGCTACTCCCCCTTTTCACTTACCCGAGCTTCCTGCTGTGGATTTCCATGCCTTGCTTCACATGCCCGGGATTGTCCCCGTCTTCTTCTTCCTCCTCCTCCTTTCCAAGTGGAAAAACGGCAGGAGCAAGTACAAAAAGAAGCGCTTCCTTGCTTCTGACGTTTTTCCATTTGTAAGGAAGCTTTCGTACCTGTGAAGGCAAGTCTGGCTTCCTGTGCTGCTCACTAAAAACCTCACCAGTACTGCTGTGCATGCAGCTTGTGTGTGCATGTGTGTCTTTTTGCTCCTGGTCTTTCGCAGCAGCCTGTGCCTGCCATCCCATCCCTGGCCGGCTGAACCAGAGTTGGGGAATTCACCCCTTCAATCCACCCCTGCCTTCATTCCTCTTTTCTTTGGAGGCCAACCTGAAGGAGCCCCAAGTTATTCTAAAGATCTTTTAAAACCTGTGTGAGTGTGTGTGTGTGTGTGCTGCACTGAATGTCGGTCCAGAGGCAGGGAGGGGGAGGGTGATGATGTAATGTTGTTTGTTATGCTTTTAATGTGTTTTTGTTTTTGTTGTATTTTTCTTTATTTTGTTTTTGTTGTATTTTTCTTTATTTTGTTTTTAAAAGTCAAAAGTTTAATAAAAAATACTTTAAAAAAACCAATGAAGTGGAGGTTACAAACAAGGTTACAACTGGAAGGATCATTGTGCTGAAGAAGGCAATGAACTGCATAGGGCAGTGATGGCTAACCTTTTTGCCATCGCGTGCCAGGAGAGGGGGGGTGGGGGAGGGTCGCGCGCGCACGTGCCCATGCGCATGTGCGCAACCCCCTCCCCCCCGCTCCTGGCACATGATGGCCTGGTAGGCCCGTTTTTCTTTCTTACCTGGTTCCAGATCCTCTCTGTGTATCTGGGAACGGCGAAAACAGCCTTTCCCACTCCCTTGGAGGCCCTACGGAGGCTGAAAAGGTGCATTTCCCAACTCCCGGTGGGACAGGAAGTGACATTTTTTGCTGTCCCCAGCCTCCAGAGCCTCTCTAGGAGTCTGTAGGAGCCTCTCTAGGAGTCTCTGGAGGCTGGGGACAGGAAAAAACATCACAATGGGTCCTTTGAGCCTCCGTAGGGCCTCCAAGGAAGTGGGAAAGGCTGTTTTCGCCGTTCCCAGATACACAGAGAGGATCTGGAGCCAGGTAAGAAAAAAAAACGGGCCTTCCCCACCCCCACCCCCACCCCGGCCCTCCAGAGGCAGGAAACAGCCTGTTTCCCTACTTCTGGTGGGCCCAGAAGGCCCGAAAATCAGCTGGCCGGTGCGCGCATGCGCCCCAGAGCTGAGCTGGCATGCCCACTAATATGGCTCCGCGTGCCACCTGTGGCACGCGTGACATAGGTTCACCATCACGGGCATAGGGATTATGGTGGGAATAGCAACCTCATGAAATATATCTTATAAGATCAATATTTTTCTGATCCAAGGAAAAACCAGTGGTTAAATACATCATTTTGGAGCTAGGTCAAGAAGTCTTAAGGATGAACCCTAAAATTAGTGTCTCCTAATTATAGTGTATTTTGAATATTGGATACAATTATAATAATTAGTAGTCCTGAAGAGTGTTCAGAGTTTTCAGTGGAATCTCAAAAGATAGTTCAGTTTACACAATTGTGGAAAATGATATAGCTGCTTTAAAAAGCTGTAGATAGATCTGGTATTTGCACACTCCAAAGCAATCTTTGGATTGAATCTTATGTCAGTGTTCCAGAAAGTCCCCAGCTCCAAGTAAAAACTCTGAGGCAGGCATTTCTCAAAGTTCCATTTATTTAGAGAAGGTACTGGCAATCTGGGAAAACCCGAATCTGAGAGTTCTGGTTTTCCCTCAGTAAATCAAAACCCCAAATCCAGCCCCTGCACCCATCAGTCTGTCACATGATCCAATCAATGTGTCCCAACTAGAGCGATCCCTGCAACCAGTCCTCCTCTAGATGCATAAACACCATGACCTTGACCGAAGGGAAGAATGCTATTATGTCTAACTACAATCACTCCTCTAAATCCCCCCTCCCACTTTCCCAAGTGCAAGAAGTTGACAGTGGGGAAGCATCTGGTGCTGATATGGCTTCCAAAGCTGACATCCTAACTACTAAGTACCTTAATAATCAGGAATAATATAAAAAGTGTGGAACTGTAGACAATGTATTGCAAGAAGCACAAGATCATATCTATTCTTTATGTGACACACATGTAAAGATAACAATAATCATGGATCTAAGAAATATTTTTATATAGGATTTTTTGTCATTTAAACTCTTAAATTAAGCCCAAAATCTTTTTAATCCTGAAAGAAATATGTTGCCCAATTTTCTATTCTTCATAGAATTCTAATTCTGATGTATCAGTCCATTAATATATCAAAGAAACAATGTTTTTATATTGACATACAAATGTCACAAGTTTGTCACACAAATTGAATATGCTTCAGAGAAGATTTTTAAAGACCAGAAATTTTAAAAGAAATGTTGCCAGACAATGCCAAACAAATATCAAACAAATAGTATTAATCTTTACTGCCTGAGGAGATCATATGTTACACAGGAATTACTGTTTTGGAACTATTAACCTACAATGCAATTTTAAGCTACTTACGTCCTATTATCATTAATAAGCGTCATGTGGTTGATAATGCAGGCCCATGCTACCATAAAAGCTTATTTCCTAGAGATTTAATCAGAGAAGGATTTTTATGGCGTATTGACACTGTGGGCCACAGTGTTTGGTTGTGAGAACATTTCAGGAGATTGAAATTGGGGGCTGGTGGACAGCTTGTTCAAGCAAATCTTGATTGCTATGAGCATTTATCAGAGTGGAAGATTTTAGTTTTTGTGCAACTAAATAAAAAAATAAATCCTCACCCCACCCCACCCCCAGCAAAAAATAGATCATTGACAGAACTCAGTCCCCCTGCCTAGACTAACCCCAAGAGGCCTGGACGGGGATAATGTCCAGTGAAGCAGGCCCACGGCTCTCAAAAGGATCATTCTTTTTCAATTTATGCTACAATATATTTTTCCTCAGGGAAAAGCAGGATTCCAAAAGCTCCGACAGCAATTCCCCCGCCCTTCAGGCAGAGGCGCTTTTCCCCGCGAAGCCGGGCAGTAGCGCAGGAGATTCTGCTCACCGTTTTCCACTCGGCTGTGATAGTATTTAGTTCCGCTTCCGTGAGAAAGAGCGAGAAGCGCGAACTGGAACGGACTTCGTTTTGATGTCGTAAGGAGGCTTGTTAGTTTCCTGGCTGTTTATTTTTAATTTGTCTGTTTTTCACTCCTGTTTCTAATAATTGCCGCCTGTTTTGTTCCCTGCCTCTTCTACTGTCTCTTTTTCCCCTCGTTCTAATCTTTTCCTTTTTATATGCTGCTGTTTTTCTCCTCCTTCCATCCCTCCCTCCCTTTTCCGCCTCTGTAGATAGTGTAGGGAAGGCGGGTGTTTTGCGTGTTGTAATAAAAATGTAAGGAAACTTGGGTTCAGTAGTATTCGTTTCCAGATATGTTTTGCCTTCCTTCAGATTACCCTGTGTATTCCAGCGATTTCCTCTGTCCTCCCGTCCTCTTTTATTGACCCAGTTTCCTGGGTCACACACACCTGTGACTACACTCTAAGTCTTCAGGTGAACCTCTAAGTTACCGCAAAGTTTTTCAACTGAATTTCCTACAACAACAGGCTACAGCTCTCCTCTTTAGAGCTACTCCCAATCCGTTCGCTTTGAGCTTGTTCTTTCCTCTTGCCTCTATTAGCAATGACAGTCAGAAGGCCAGCTCTCAAGAGTTTGTTCGCATTTCCAATTTTTGTGTTACAAACAAGTCTCTGCCTTTCTCTCTTACTATTGAGGTTTATGAATGATGTAGTAAAGTATTTGCTTTGATAGAAATTTGTATTTGCTTCAAAATAAATTCTACAGAATTCAGTGGGGGGGGGGGTGCTTGGAAAAGTAAGTACAAAAGTGTAATTAAAAACGTCTTCTGGGGCATAGTCAGTTTACTTTTGTCTGTTTGCTAATCTGATTCATTCCAGATATGTTAACCAAAACACCTGTCTCTAACCATTATGATTATGCTATCTCAGGATAGTGAGAGTTAGAATAAATTTATCTGGAATGAATCAAAATGAAAAATGCTGTTCACATAATTATTTTGAACCTAGCAATACAAATATCTAGCATGTTATTACAATAGTACCGGTAGTTAGAAGCATTGGTTTAATTCTGTTTTCCTATACAAGATATCCTCAGCAAGAATATGTATAAAATCACAACATATCCCTATGTTTTCTGGGAAGTTCCCATTCAGTTCGGTAGTGCTTGCTTAAAAGTAAACATCAAATTATGAATTTAACAGTTTATGAGCAATACTACAATGTTTTGCTTGCTGCTTGATTAGTTTTTGTACCAGTACTCTTTAACATTTACTAGCTACGTAAATTGCAGTGTGCGCGTCCTGTCTTATCCCCTTCTATTCTTGATTGACATAGACACTTTTGTGCAAGGAGAACTTGGAAACTGTTACAATCACGAAAGACAGAATATAACAATGACCACAACAGGTACCAGAATGGCTGGAGGTAGGAAGCGGAGATGTCATGCAGAGGCACAAAAGCAGGTATCAGTAATATGTCCCCATCTCCATTCCCACTCTATCGAAGAACTGGAAGTTTTGTGTCCTTCAACTACTGGGACAGACAAGAGTTCAAAATACCATGCTAATATCACCTCCCATCCTTGGGATCTTTGATACAATAACAAATACGTTATACATTCATACAAAGTGTCTTGGTCTCATTAAGTGTTACTTAGAAGCAGGGATTTACGAGGGTAGAATGTGTAACTTCCTTTAAGTTGGCATATTTTTTTCTTAGTTTGAATCTGTAAACAGTTGCACATAAACAATATGGAGAATTATATATTCTCTTTGCTGCTTATTTCTTAGTGCACCGCTTTATCTGCTACAAATCAGAAGTTAGCCCCCAGATTACATTCAACTCAGTTTATTTTCCTTGTCTTAAAATGATAAATGTATGAGCTTATTTCTTCCTTGATTTTCTTTTTACTGGTAGGATGAAAACATTAAAGAAGTAAAAAATGTACAAGCTGGCAAAGCAGATGTCTCTGATTGTATTCGCCAAGAAATCGAAAGCTGTTACCGGCTCAAGATGCCTGAAGACTTCTATCATTTCTGGAAATTCTGTGAGGAATTGGAACCTGACAAGCCATGTGGTAGATCTTAAATGTTTATCTTCTCTATATGAATGTTTGTGTGTATACACATATATAGATATAGTTGTGTGTGTACAATTTTAGGCATAGCAATATCTTCAACATTTTGATATTTATTTTAGAAATTTATGAGGCTACCCAATTGTAAAATGACTCTGGGTAGCATACAGTAAAAGTAATACAATTAAAATAAACAAGTCCACCTCCCCACTGCCTCCATTAAAGCAGACATTACAATACAAATTTGCCACCCACTTTAACCCAATTCATGGGAAAAGAACCAGGTTTTCAATGCTCTTTTGAACATAACCAGGGTGGAGACAAGATGGAGGAGAGGGAATAGCTCTCCAGAAGGCAGGTGTTATGATCAAGAAGGTATACTTCCTAAGTCCCATCAAGTGAGATTGCTTAATTGATGGGATCTGGAGCATGCCAACTGTGCCTGATTGGCTCACTTAACTTCTTCCTGTCAATAGATTAGACTTGACCACAAAGAACAGAGGGAAACTACCATAATGCAATGTCTTTCAGTCGCATATGGTGGGCTAGGAGTATGCTATGGTTGATACTATGGTTTGATATTATTTAATATCACTAGTAGTCCTTTCCACATGTAATATAAAATGTATTTATCCTTCACTTTGTTAGTTTATTTCTAATAATCACCATCCTATGTCAATCAGCATGTTCAGTTCTTGTGGGAAGTGCCATTTTGGATTATTATTTTTATTTTATCAGTCTTTTAATTCTTCCAGGTTTGCTGAACTATAGATCTCTGTATAGAGAGCAATTTTGGCTTTATAAGAATTTGACCCTAATCTTTGAGAACAGAGAGAATTATAGATAGATAAAGCATACTTTATATGAAAACAATAACTGTTTTGCATATTTAATGTATTTAATTTTATGTATTTAAAACTGGGCTGTAGGAAACCTAATCAAACTCAGAACTTTTCATGTAATGTAGATCAGAGATCCAGTATTTTTGTTTTAGTTAGTCTTTATTTTCTCCAACCTTTGTGTAACATGACCAAGAGGTAGTTATGTTAATTGCAATTTGGTTTGTTTTTGCCTTGACTGCTAGTTATGTATGTTATTTTCATTGTTGGTTGTGTTTTATACTGTATCTGTTGTTAGCTGCCCAGGGTTAATGTGGTGAGATAGGCGGCCATATAAACTGAATAGAATAAACAAATAGTACTGTCAGGGTGACGGATGCCCTAATTAAATTATGAGTCTCGAGCCAAGCTTCAAAAGAAATCCAGTTATTTATTAGGAGCTTATGTTGGCATGTTCCTAAGTGGAGCCAGCTCTGACCCTATGTAATTTATGCTCCAATTATGACCCTATTTCACCTCTCCCCCCAGGGTGTGTCATCAATCACATTCGCCAACGGAGGGTTGTGGAGGTCACTCCCCTCTGGCTGCTTTAGGAGGTAACCCTGGGATACAGCCTTGAGGGAGATAAACGTGGAACGTGCATCTGTCTTTGGCTGCTATGCCATTTCGCCAGTTTCCCATCCCTCCTGTCCTATGGCAACTCAAGAGCAGGCCAGCGATGCTTTGCGAGTTGACAAGTACCTTATTTTGTGAGCTCAATGAGAAAGTGAATCCAAAGTGTTAGATGCAACCTTTCCATTAATCCTAGAAGCAGAAAGGATAGCAGATAAATAAGTAAAAACAATAATTTTAAATATATATTTTGATATATATTTACAGTTATTATTATGAAACAATAGGTGTTTTTATTTATAGACGCTCTCAAATCAAGTATTGGACTTCAGCTTGTTGGACCATATGACATTCTTTCTGGAAAACACATAAACACTAATAAATCAAAAGAAATAAATTTCAACCTTCACTGGAGATTTTTTTATGATCCTCCTGAATTTCAGACAATTATTGTTGGAGACAGCAAAACACAATATCATATGGGATATTTCAGGTAAGAAATACCTTGGCCTGAAGGGGAAAAATAATTCTTTAACGATGTTCTTCCTGCTGTTGCTTTAAAATAATGAGCAGGCATTACTGAGTTTTGCCTTGTAAGATCTTTTCATTCATATAAAGTTGAAAAACATTTCTAACATAAAATGTTTGAGATAATCAAAGTGTAGGATGGATAAAAATTGATTTTTTTAAAAAAAATGGATTTTTAAAATTTAAATCAGATTTTTAAAAATCAAATTTATTTTAATAAAATATTTTGGAGTAAAAATCTAGCGAAAGATAGTTTTCTATTTAAGATACATTAATAATTTAGTTTATTCAGCATCAAATGGAGCTTAGTTATGTAGCATGAGGCTGTATATTCTGCAATATTTACATTTTTTGTAAACTCATTCAATGAATCCAAGCTCTGTAAGCTGAAATAACTTGCACTGCATTGATGCATTCATACAATTTCACAGTAACCATGCAATAAATCATAAAACAAAGTTCAGGAATATTCCTTTATGCCATTGTTTTGCAAATCTGTGTACACTACAAACTGTATGATTGTTTGAAGAGAAATGCATCTGTACCACCAGCCTTTAAGTGTGAGGAGGCAGAGCAAGCAGTTAAAATGAAAGTGAAACCTAAGCAGTTTATAAATATAATACTAAAGAACACCTGTCATTTCAGATCCATCATGGCAGCGCCTGTTAGCGGGCATCCACTCACCTGCTGCCTGCCACATCCCTCACCTTGTTGCATCACTGCTGCATCACCAGCCGTCCCATTAAAGTGAATGGGACTGTCGGTTAGTCAACAGTGGGTCAGAGGAGGAGCTGCTACGGGACAGACATGACAGTTGCTCTTTAAAAATTATGATTTTAGTCGAATTGATTTAAATCAAGCTTTTTTACTAGTGATTTAAATAATTTAAATCGTGATTTAAATTGACTTGATTTAAATCAAATCCACCCTGTCAAAGGGTATGTTGTTTCACTTGGTGTGACATTAGGATGTTTAATTCATATATACTTGCCAAGAATATTTTGGAATAGAATAAAAATTATTTTGCCTTTGGGAAGTTTGCTGGCATGTTGTGATTTATTTTGCAGGTGAATTTAGAGTTGGTATCTTCAAAATAGTATGAGTGCTAGATTGTATTATCCAGTTTTGACTTAGACAACCTAGCTTACAAAGTTCATTTTATTGTTTTAAAAATTTAGAATTATTCAATACAATAGAATTTACTTTCATTATTATACTGACTGTCATTATACAAAATGTTTATTATAGTATAAAACTAGTAGTATAAAACTATTGTGGATGTATTTTTGTAAAATCTGTGTTTTTAATTAAGACTGCCATAATTCTTGATGAAATTCGAGATCTTAATATTGATCTAGCTTGTGCTAGGGGTAATCAAGTAGATTTCATAAAGTAATCATCTGATCTGGAAGCAATTTGGATTGTTCTGATTGGAATCCCATGTCTGAAACATGAAATATTCAGTTTGAAGGATTCGTTTCAAAATTTTCAGTTTTGCACCTATCTTTTTTGGGTAGGAAAAATAGTGTTTGAGAACTCTCTCTATGGTAACGTAGCTGCTTCAGCTCTAATTCTTAAAATATGTTCAGTTTTAATATCTTGTATATTTTATAGAGATATACCAGATCAACTGCCAGTGTGGGTTGGTGAAACTGAAACCCAGAAAGGCTGTACAATTTATCAAGTTGGTGACAATATATTTGCTGCTGTAAAGTAAGAATTTAACATTTTCATCATGTAAAAAGAGGTTAATTCGAAAAGCAGTCTCAATTTGCAAGGGATTTTTTTTCTTTTACTCACATATAGCTAATGCTATATAGCTCTATGCAGTGGTGGGCTGCTTCCGGTTTAACAACCGGTTCGCCCAGCACAGAAAATGTGAGCATGCGCACGCGGCTTCAAAAACATGGTGATATAAGACTGGATAATGCCTGGGCAGGTGGGCAGGTGGGCGGGCCCACCCCCACCCGCAAGTCGCAACTACCGGTTTGTCTGAACCGGCAGCAGCCCACTTCTGGCTCTATGCCATTTGAATTAGGAAAATACACCCCTTACCATTTCAGTATATTTTACCTGTTCTTACTTTGAGAAAATGATTTTGTGGGTGAAGTATTGGGATGAAGCTTATTCTTCTTTTCCTCTTTTAAAACTGTTTGAATATAAGTCACTGTTAACAGAATCCTCTTGCTTGTAAAAAAAATGGTTGCAATATAGTCCCTGTTTATGAAAGTCAAAATCTAGTCTCATGATTCAGAAAAAGGTGCTGCGCTTTTTTATTTATGACAGGAATTTGTACTTGGCTCAGAATTTAATGGTAGAATATGGCTTAGTTTGCTGCTCAAAATTTCTTGTTCAAATAGTTCAGTAGCATAGTTTACATGTTATTTGCTGCTATATACTAATTTGAGAATATTTTGGACAACCATGTAATATTTTTAATCTGCAAAATATTTTCTACAAAGTATGTTTTTCTGTTGCATTTCTATGCATTGCATTGTTCATTAAAGCATTGTAAGAAACTTTCACATAGTTTATATTCAGGTCTGGAATATTGGAGGATGTATATATAACTTTCCATATTTAATCTTTCTGAATATACTGATGTGAAAATGATTTTCCAGCTGTTTTCTCCAAAATACATTCAGCCACATTTTTAGTAGCTTACTGAAAAATATGTATAACAGAGCTTTTTTATTATTGTTATTGGCTTTTGCTTGTCTTAGTGTAAAATGTGATTCTTAAGAGTAAATGTCCCAAAGGTGCTTTTTTGAAGAGGCAACTGGACTTTCTGGTTTTTCTTTGAAGACATTTCGCTTCTCATCCAAGAAACTTCTTCAGCTGAAGAAGCTTCTTGGATGAGAAGCGAAATGTCTTCAAAGAAAAACCAGAAAGTCCAGTTGTCTCTTCAAAAAAAAAAAACCTTTGGAACAACTGTGACTTGGATGACTGAGAATCTGTCAGAGTTTGTTGCAAACATCAAATCCAGAAAGCAGAGACAGATAACTGATTCAGCAGGATTCATTAACTTATTTATATACATAGTAACACATGAATAAATGTACAATACCAAGAGTGGTTCCTCCAATGTGGTAGAGAGGAGAGATCAGTTTCAGTTCTCAGCACACAGATTAGACCAGACTTGTTTGCTAAACCATGCCCAGGCTCCCAACTGGTTTCAGCTCCCATTGGCTGACTTAGTTGCTATGCCTATTCATTGGCTGACCTTGTTATCATGTCTTCCCAGTCATGATTATTCTGAGAGAATCTCCATAGATACTTAAGAGTGAATGTTTCACAGAAAACTTTTGAATCAGCCTAGGTACCAGCTTGTTTTACATATGGATATGAAAGGATGAAGATTTTATCTGGTGCCTATTTGTTTAGAAACAGCTATTTAGTCATTGGTAAAATTCCTTTCATAGAATTACTTCAAAAATGTTTCCATAGTACTTCTGATAATTTGCGAGCACTTCTGATCATTAGAAGTCTATTCTGGTACATATAGGAGCAACCTTTGGGATTTCTACTAATCATACTGTTTTGAAGTGTGCTTCTGTTAGCTAGTAAAAGGCATTTTTGAGTCTTCAAGATCAATGAACTGTAGAATTTTGTGCTCTTTTGTTTCAGGTTATTTTTGTCTAAAAAGCTTAAAGAACTGACTAATAAAAAGAGAGGTGGTTTATTAAAAGACACAGATGAAAAACTAACTAAAACAGCAAAACAATTGGGTTACTCATTGGAACAAAAAAGTTTGAAGGTGAAACAGCGAGATAAGAAGGTAAAATTTGATTGTCCAAACTCAGTAAACTTTAATACATCATTTTTTTTTCCTGGTTTGTGCTAAAATATGTTTATTCCTAAGTCTCTTCCAAAACCAGAGAATCACATTTAATTCTTGGGGTCAGCACAATAAAAGGTTGAGTTCATTGTTAGTATGCAAATAGTAACAAGCATGCTGTAAACATTACAGATACCTTTAAGGGATGAAAAACTTTAGTTCTCAGTTACCATCCAGTCTTAAAAAGGTAAAATATAAATCTTAAATCTTAAATGATTTAAGAATTGAATTAATCAGAAAATACTGCTTCCTTTTTTTATTGTACTCCAGATAATATTCAGAACCGGTTGGATATCAGATTTTTTAGGCTGACATTGTAACAAATTTAAGGATTCTTTAATGATTTGGCATTTTACATCCTGTTTGGTTTCAAGCTGTAGCATATGTTAATACAAATTTGGGTGGGGTGGGGGGAAATGTAACCAACATATAAATGTATATTCAATTATCTTTCCATGATATGGAAGTTGTGATTTTTTGTTTATTTTATCTTAATCACTCTTGTGTATAAAGGCTTTTATATTATATAGTTATTACATTATTACAAGTAGTCCCTGTCTAGTGACTTAACTTCACAACCAGTTCCTGCATTTATGACCTTTGTAGGTCCTTTAAAGCAAAGCTGAAGTAAAATCATAAGCACCATATATTATTTATTTATTCATTAAATTTATGTGCCACCCATTTCATCAGACACAACTCTGGGCAGTGCAGCTTACAAACATTAAAACTAGTACTCATTAAAAATTTAGCAACCACTTCACTTAATGACCAAGTTGCTGGTTCCAACTGTGGTTGACAAATGAGGATTACCTGTAGGTTAGTTGTTTGTTATATTTCACCAATAATAAAAAGATGAACAACTGTCACTCTTATATCTGCATAAGGCCAACTAAATTCTTTCCAGTGGTGAATTGCCTTTTCCACAAGAATCTACCAAGAGATGGTAAAGCTCTTTAAAACTCTTTATGGCCATTTTGCGAGAAAAATCACCAGCATTCTCACTGAATTTGTCACCATTATTTTGGTTGCATGAATTGAGAAGTAAACAAAACAGTCCTACTGTTCTGAATGCCATGATACGTGCAAGCTTTTGTTTACATCTGATAATTTGTTCTTGTGGTTATGAGATGCAACCAGAGTTAGCTTATTTAAAGAAATAAAGCTATTTCTTTAATAGGGCATTTGGTTGCTTGTCAGGAAATATGATGCAGCCTGGATACATTATTCCTCTTAGGCCCACTTAATTTGCCAACTGCTATCTAGTCTATAAGCTTGCCATTTGTTTGATAATGCAGTATATAGGAGAGATGACATTAGAGGGTAATTATTAGTGGAATCCCTAGGCAATCATCAATTTACCTAGGAGTTTTCTCTTTCAAATTAGCAGGATATCTTACGTAAATGTGCACTTGACTTATTAATCAATTAAACAAAAGCAAAACATATGCAAATACATTGGTATTTGAAGACTAGTGTACCTGCACACAATATCTAATGTTAATGTATGTAAAGTACTTGCTTTTTTTTTTTTTCAAAACAGATAGTAACAAAGACATTTCACGGAGCTGGTTTAGTAGTTCCTGTAGATAAGAATAATGTTGGATACAGAGAGCTTCCTGAAACAAATGGTAGGTATTGAAGAACTTTTCTCAAAATACAAAATTAAAACTTCCATGAAGCCATTGTTAATGGTCCACATTTAGACATTTGACTAGCCAAATGCCTTTAAAAGGAAACAGTGAACATATCTTCCCAGAGTCTATCACAGTGGACAGGAATAATTAAAAAAAAAATTAGTATAAAGTTAGTAATTAGGTTTCTCCTCATGTTTTTATCTAATAAGGTCATTTGTAAAAACAGAATTCCATAGCACGGACAAATAATTGTTATTAAAGCAGGATGTTCTTATGCTGAGCATATCATTAAAAGCACTGTAGTAGTCTTTGCTATAGCAGCAACTGAATATCTGTCCTGAAAACATTAGGCTAGACTTAGATTGGTTGCATTTAATTCCATTTTAAATTGGTGGGACCATTGTCATGATTTAAGTCCCATTGGTTTCAGTGGGAGTTTAGGTTGTAATTCTGCACTTATTTTGTAAGACAGATGTAAAATAATACCAATTAACCTCCATTTTATATTAATATTACCAGGAATATGATACTATCAAAATCTTGGAAGATTTATGGTACAGATTAGCATATATTATGCAGTTAAAAATGGTTTTCTTTTAAAATAATACATACCATATTTTTCGGAGTATAAGACACACTTTTTTCCCTCCTAAAAGAGGCTGAAAATTTGGGTGCGTCTTGTACTCCAAATGTAGCTTTTTCGAAGCTTTTTTTAGCCCTAACGAAGCGCTAGCGAGTAAAGCGATCTCTGCTTCCCTGCTTTGCCTGCTTCCTCCGACTCTCAGCTGTGAAGTTTTTTTTCAGCCCTAACGAGGCGCTAGCAAGTGAACTGATCTCCATAGTTTGCCTGCTTTTCTCATTGCTTCTCTCTCCAAAGATCAGTTGTGCTTTAGAAGTTGTTTTTTATCCCCAAGCAGGGGATAAAAACCAGCAAATTAATGTGCTGAAGCTGACCAGACTAAGGACGCTAGCCAGATGAATACCTGGTAGACAGATTTTTTCCCCCTATTTTCCCCCCAAAAAACTTATACTCCGGTGTGTCTTATATTCCAAAAAATACGGTATATTGCATGTAAAGAGAATATATAGAGGTATGCAGTGCTTATTTGATTTGGAAGAGGTGCTTCCAAATGTAAAACAGTGTGAAGCACAAAGCACAAGAAATAGATTGCAGCTGCTTTAATGAATTGCAGGCAGTTTGTAATTTGTGCTCCTGTGCATCCCAAACGCATCTCTCCAAAATCAATTTTTAAAAATTGTATAGAATATATTGTAATATAGTTCTCATGGAATCTTTTTCTTCGTAGCAAATCTCAAAAGAATTTGTAAAACCATTGTAGATGCTCCTAATGATGACCAGAGATTGAAAGCCTTTGCTCCTATTCAGGAAATGTTAACTTTCGTTCAGTTTGCTAATGATGAATGTGACTATGGAATGGGATATGAACTGGGCATAGACCTCTTCTGCTGTGGATCACATGTAAGTTCATGTTTTTCTCTGTAGTAATTGTTTGAAATATGAATCATTGTCTCTATGATATGTAGCTCTGAAACAAATGACTCCAAAAGTTCAGTAGTCCCAAAGGTGCTTTTTCAAAAGGCAGCTGGACTTAGTTTTTCCTTGAAGACGTTTAGCGTCTTATCCAAGAAGCTTCTTCAATTTAGTCAGAACTTAAGAAGCTTGTTGGATGATAAGCTAAACATCTTCAAGGAAAAACAATGTCCAGTTGCTGCCTTTTGGAAAAGCACCTTTCGGACTATGGCCTGGATGACTGAAAATCTCCATAGACAAAGGGTCAGTAGAGAATAATAACTATCTATATAATAATTTCAGTGCTTAAGAAATTAAGAAAAAAGTGGAAATGAAAAACAAATTAAAGCACTTTATGTTGCTCTGAAATTCATTATCAACTTCAATAAAACCATTACCATTGTCTTTTAATTTTTTGCAGTATTTTCACAAGATTATCAGCCAGTTGTTGCCTCTTGCATATAGTCTGCTGAAAAGAAATCTGTTTGCAGAGATAATTGAAGCTCACTTAGCTAATAGAAGAAAAGAGAAGGTAGATCTACTTGCAGCATGATAAACACTAAAATACTGTAAAATACTTCTGTTATTTATGTTTTTTTTTCTACTAACATGTACTTATTGTGTGATAAATAAATGTTTTTTCTAAATGAGTTATTTTGGCTATAGAATCTAAATTATATCAATCATTAATAACTTTTTAGTTTCTAGTATAACTTTCAGTGAAGATTCATAAAATAATAATTTTAAGCTGTTCTATGCAGAACCCTGTACATTCCTTAATAAGTTGCTTTATGAAGACAAACTTTTTCAAAAGTTTCCAATATATAACGCGTTGCCATAAAGAAGAGGAAGTTAACCTATTCGCCAAAGCACCTGAAGGCAGGACAAGAAGCAATGGATGGAAAATAATCAAGGAGAGTAGCAACCTACCCTGTTTTCCCCAAAATAAGACATCCCCTGATAATAAGCCCAATTGGGCTTTTGAGTGCATGGCAATAAGGCCAAGTGTTTATTTCAGGGTTCAAAAAAATATAAGACGGGGTCTTTTTTTCGGGGAAACACGGTAGAACTAAGGAGAAATTTCCTGACAGAACAATTAATTAGTGGAATAAGTTGTCTTCAAAAGTTGTGGATGCTCCAATATTGGAAATTTTAAAGAAGAGATTGGACAACCATTTGTCTGAAATGGTACAGGGTTTCCTGCCTGAGCAGGGACTTGGACTACTGTGTTTTCCCGAAACTAAGACCTCTCTGGATAATAAGCCCAATCAGGCTTTTCAGCGCATGCAATAAAATAACCTCCCCCCAAAAATAAGCCCCCCACCAACTACTTGCACGCATGCGCAGCTGGTCCCGCCATTTCCTCTGGTTGCTCGCCGTGCAAACAACACGATGTGAGGAGATGAGACCGGAGGGGAGGGATGGGGGGGGAACATGCCACATGCACCCCACATGCCCTTACAGTAGTTACCAGTAACGCTGATGGCCATCCCAAAAAGAGCAGCAGGCCAGCAACATACCTCGCGTCCCACTCCTGCCCCTTGGATAGCCACCCGCCCCCTTTGGGGATGCCATTTGGGGGTGGCAGGTGGGGCGAGGGAGAAGCAGGACACGCGTCTTATCTTTCCAGCTCCGTCACATTCCTCGCCGTTGTGTCCAGGGAAACACGTAAAAAAAAAAACCCTTGTGAGTTCAAACAAATTTCTCAAACTCGTGAGAAGTTTTCTTTTATAACATGTTTCCCTGGACACAACGGCGAGGAATGCGACGGAGCTGGAAAGGTAAGACACATGTCTCACGGCCCAACACGGCCCACCCCACCCCGATGGCAACAGCCTTGCTGCTTCCCTTCCCCGCCATCTCTTTATTGAGAGGGGTGGCAGGTGGGGTGGGGAAGAAGCAAGACGTCGCTCCCCTTGCCGTCACTCCCCCCCCAGTTGCCGGGCATGGCAGGGCTCCTGCCCCTAGCCACCCACCCCCTTTAGGGATGCAATTTGAGGGTGGCAGGTGGGGCAGGCGAGAAGCGGGATGCACGTCTTACCTTTCCAGCTCCGTCGTGTTCCTCACCGTACACAAGTGGAGGGGGAGTTAATGGCCATGAAACAATATGGCTGGCCAGCAAAGGTGTATGTTCGTGAATTCCGTCGACTTGCTGGTAGGCTGCTGGCCTGGCCGGAGCGCCTACTGATGCACCAGTTCCGAGGGGGGCCCGGGTCATGAGATTCGCCAGGCCTGCCTGTACAGGGGTCTTCCACCCCGACTCCAAGACTGGTTCCAAGCGGCCGTAGAGTTGGTTGCGAGAATTCTGGCCCCGGGGGGAAGCGGGTCCCGGCCCTTGGAAACCTGCTGACCAGCGATGATGATGGAGCGGAGGACCCAATGGTAAGCGACTCCATTCAACCATTTATCATCCCAGTCACGATGAGGCCTCACACAGGCAAAGGGGCCTGTTATGGTGCGTTGATCGACTCTGGTTGTACCCAGTGTCTCATCAATAAAAAGATGGTTAGGGAGCTAGGTATAGGGGTATGTAGGATGGCTAAACCCATTAGATTCGAGCAGGTGGACAGCTCAATACTTGGGGGGGCACCGGCTACCCATATCACAGAGCCGGTGAAACTTGAGATGGGGGAGTATTGGGAGCTCATCAGATTCATCGTAGTGACAACAACTTGGCCTAGTGTGACTGGACAAATGGGGGCCCATGATATGGTGGGAGAGGGGGTTTCCGGAAACTAAGGATAACAACTGGGCCCAGTCCACCACCACACAAACGGGTTGACCAGGAGGGTAGCTGACCTTGACAAGAATAGGTGTCAGGCTATGGATGGGCCCGCATTCTCTCAGGTCTATGCCGACCAAGCGAAGGTATTCAGCAAGGCAAAATGCGAGGTACTACACCCCTCCCCCCAGGTCCACGAACTGCATCATCGAGCTTATACGCAGGGCAAAATTATCTAAGCCCCAGATGTATTTGATGACGCCAACTGAGATGGCGAAATTAAGGAAGTATATTGATAAGAACCTGGCAAGGGGGCTTGTTATCCTTATGCCTTACGATGGAACCTTACGCCTCTGTGTTGACTTCCAAGGCCTCAATGATGTTTGCGTGGAACATCTCTACCGCTTGCCACTGATGAAAGACATGTTAGCGACCTTGGCAAAAGGCCGGTTTTTCACCAGGCTGGACTTACAGGAGGCATATTACCGGCTTAGAATCTGACCAGGTGATGATTGGAAAACCACGTTCAACTGTCCGTTGGGGAGCTATCAGTTCCAGGTAATGCTGTTTGGGGGGGTCCTGGTGGTGTTCATGCAGCTCATCAATGAGGTGCTGCATGAACACCTGTACCAGGGGGGTCCTTGTATACCTAGACATCTTGATTTACACCACCACCATGGCTGAACACACCCAGTTAGTGCAGCAGGTGTTTCAGAAACTTTTGGCAGCAAAGTTGTACGT